TGAATATATCTATAGAAAGCTTTAAATGACTACAAAACGAAATAATTCAAATCCAAAACAATCCGTAAAGATACATTTCTTTCTAAAGGCGCGTCCAATGATGAGATGGCGAGTCAGGATCATCAACTTCATTGCGACACTGACTCATAAAACACTAGTTTATTAATAAATAATTTAAATATCTCCTTACTATTTTCCCCCAACATAGTCATGGTAAGTTTTGCGGCAAGCTTTAGCCTATTTAGCGTGCTCACGTCACGTTGCTGTGCGCCATGGTCACGAAAACCCATCATTTGCACTTGTTTTTAAGCATTGTGATTTAAAAACAAGTGATTTAAGCCATTGAAATGCAAATAACGGCACTATATGCTTGAGCTGTCTGTTTCTGAGCATGATTTCTGCAATTGGGTCGGATCGAGGTCGGGTCATATTCACACCTTAAATGAACCGTACCAGAGTTCGTTTGGAAGCGGACCGAGACCACCTCTTCAGCTAGGTCTCGGTACGGTTGTTTGGTCTGCACCCGAGTGCGATTGCTGCATTCACACCTGCCAAAAAGGTCCGCACCAAGAGGGGAAACGAACTTGAGTTCGATTCAATCGAACCAAACAAAACAGGTGTGAATACACCCTTAATTTCATGTTCATTGTGTTACTGTCATATAAGTGTGTGCAATCCAAATATATTGGCACTATATCCCAAATCCTTTTTAATTCATAGGCATGATTTATGTTCAGAAAAGTTTTTCAAATACAAAAAAGTATTTGTCCAGCATGACTGGAATTAATAGACATGATTAATGGATTATTCAAAATAGTTCCAGTGGTTTACAAAACAGCTGCTACCTAATACACCTAATACTGCTACCTAATAGTAGCCTAATACCTGTAAACGAGGGAATTTATTTTTATGAAAGTGCTACAGCAAAACGTTTTTCCCATACATGAAACCAGTTCAGACAGGATCTAATGTACTTGTGTGTCTCATTCAGAAAAACAGTTTCAGATCTTTAAGTGTTCTTAAGTTTGAAGAGCTACACTCCAGTTCTAATCAAACAGTGAGTACTATCTCCTCTTCAGCCCTAACCTTCACCCCGCATCTCTAATGCACATGATTCATTCAGCTCATTTAAAACTCTACATTTTATGCTGTGACTATATTGGTGGGTGGGTGTGTGTGTTTGTGTGTGTGTGCATCTAAATGTTTGCCTAGAACTTTAGTAAGACAGTTGTCTGATTAGTACAAAGATCCATGACCCATCTGAGAAACGGGAGTCACTTCCTGCATATAGATGCATCGGATGTCACGTAACAGCTGATCCTGTCCAGACCTTCCGGCCCGAATGGAGGCTCTGCAGCTAGGGACTGTTAATGACCTATCACATGGACACATTTTACATTTTTGTTTTGCCTTTTTTATTGATTGCTAGTCATTTATGTCTAGACATGTTTTGTCGTCTTTAGATTTATCAGAATGTTTTTGTTGGATTTGTTTTGACATGTTTTCATTTATATTCTGGCTCATTTACTCATACTAAATCCTGTAAGGAAAAGCCTCAAGTCCTTTGAGATATGGAGGTGGAAGTCTTTTATGATTTATCTTATGTAATATTGAAATTTTTACTCAAACTGCTTCCAAAGGCTCAATGTTTAGATCTAGTCATTAGGGAGATGGGAAAGTGTCCTGGTGTTGATGATTTTTTTTTTTTTTATTAATTATCAGTATTTTTAGGGATATTATTCTGCAGAAAGGGAGCATCGTTAGGGATCTTTGTTTGCATGATAAAAGGCATCTTGTCTTGTAAAATCGCCTCATGTTCCCATGTAGTATGCCTTCTGGTATCGCTCTGCAGCCCTACATCACAATCTTTAGATGATGATGCAGCTGCTATGCAAAATGAATTATTGAGCAGAGAAATTTGTGTATGGCTTTATAGTTTTGTTTTATGCATGTTCCCTGTGGATTTCTTTTAATTCTGTTGTTGGATACAATGTTTTGAAAAGTTTTCATTGTCAAAAGTTAATGCAGTTTTGGATTGCTGCTCATATTTTGTCATATGTACTTCTAATGAGGACATAAGAGGCAAAACTACCACACTGTCAGAACACATTTCTCTGAATTAAAACATTTAAAGCCAGTGGTTTTCATGGCTTGATACCGCAACTATTTTTTGTGACTGGCTTAAATGGGTATTGTGGGAAATCAGACTTATGTTCCATTCACACATACAGTGATTTTACCGCTGCAGGTCACTCAGTCGCTGTATTATTGGTCACTGTGGGTGTTCCTGCTGCTCAGTGCCCTCATGTTACTGGTGGGCTTCACAACTGGCTATAGCTTTTGAAAAATCTAAAATGACCAGAAATGGCATTTATTTTATTGTCAGTCAAATTCTAGTTTGACAGACAATTCATTTGTCCTACTGCTAAAAAAGAACAAATAAGTGCATGAATCAATCTCACCTAGTATGCTTACAAATTTTAAAGTATCACCGCATGTTGGCAAAGATGAACCATGCTACTAATGAAATCACTAGTAGCAGTAATATCAATTTCTCTTTTGTGTTGCCTACTTAACACTACAGTATCTGTCATTATCAGTAGTCGCTGCATTACGTTGATACTCATTGACATAGTTAAAGTTAAACTTCTCAACTTGCATGACTGGACATGCTTGACACTTAGTCACTAAACTCTCATGTTATTGTAAATCACCAGCTGTCATTGAGAATTACATCATAGTGGTACTACAGTGTATGGCTTTATTTCATCTGTCGCTTTATTTGTTTTCCCAGCTTGGGTCTAGAATTTTTCCATTTCAGAACTGGTTATTTGGTTCTCTTATTAGCTACGTCTTTCCCTCTTATCAAGATGTATTTGATTGGCAAGGGCATGTCTCTGTTTGGAATAAATCTGCAAGCAGACCCATTGTATGTAACTCTAGATGGACAAACACATGCATAGCTATAGCTCAAAAATCTTCAGTCTTCATGGATATATCTTATGGTATTGTATGAACAAAATGACTGCACTTCAAAATAGGGCTGTTATTTCGTTCTTAACTGTGCCACAAATTATAGTAAATTGGATGGACATTTTACATAAAGGATCATGGCAGCATAGGGTACCACAATATACCATTATGACTTGAACCTACCAAACTTACCATACATACTCATTTTCTCTCTTCCCCTTCTTTTTCCAGTGCTGTCTCGTGAAACGAAACCATGGGGAAGCAGAACAGCAAGCTCCGCCCTGAGGTGATGCAGGACCTGCTGGAAAGCACAGACTTTACGGAGCATGAAATCCAGGAATGGTACAAGGGCTTTCTACGGGACTGTCCCAGTGGCAACCTCTCCATGGAGGAGTTTAAGAAAATCTACGGAAACTTCTTCCCTTACGGAGATGCCTCAAAGTTTGCAGAGCATGTGTTCCGTACTTTTGACGCAAACGGCGACGGCACAATAGACTTTCGGGAGTTCATAATTGCATTGAGCGTCACGTCACGAGGGAAGCTGGAACAGAAGCTCAAGTGGGCGTTTAGCATGTATGATTTGGATGGAAACGGATACATCAGCAAAGCAGAGATGCTGGAGATTGTGCAGGTATGTCAAGCTACCTAAAGCTTTTATGAATCGACCTAATATTGGCACTCTTTAAATCCTTTTCTAATCATCACCATGACTGCTGAAGCCTGAAATAGAATCAAATATCACTTAAGGAGACACAAAAGAGAACCCGACCCAGTCCTGCTACCTAATTTTCACATCGCATATGTTGTTATTTCTCACTTGCGTTAACAGCAAGGATAGCCGTGGTGTTAGACTGTCAGGAAGCTCCATACTGTAAAGAGAGCCCAAGTCTTATGTCTGTCTCTAAAACAGGTTTTCATCAAAGAGCACTCCTTCACATGGTTATTTATGTTTGCTGTCATTGCAATTGGCCTGATTTATTTTTGCAGCTTTCTTGCTGATAAGAGTAATTTTAGCATGAGGTGATTTCTCAGATCTTGAGAGCCTGTTCAATATATATCACGTGTATATATTACATTTGTACTATGAAATTTTAGGTGTAATATAGAAAAAAGGAAAATGCTATACCCACATCATACATCATCTTTTGAGTCAAATTCTTACATTTAATCAGTCAATTATAATAATAATACATTTAGGCTGTTACTAAACAAATGAAATCAGTATCAATAAAATTCATCTTTGCAGAAGTTGCATATGAAGTGGCATTTAGATGCATTTACACATGTTAATGCAGCTTAGAGGGACATGGAATGCTTTAAACTGCAGTTACAAATGCATAAATAATGTTTTGATATATTAAACATAATAGCGCAAAAACAGCCAATATGGTGTCTAAAACGTAAGTCTCTTGATATTAACTTATTGTTTATTGAACTGTTGTATAAAATCAATATCACATTTGTAACCATGCTGATTTGTTTTTTTTTTTAAACGGCTCTCTTTGTGTGAAATTTATTAACTTTTTGAATTGATATAAATATATAAAATTTCTGCCCCCTTATCTTGAATTATGTGATCATTCTTAATGCATATTATTAGACTGAATCATGCAGTGAAAGAACACACTCTAAATGCTCACGCGCACAAAAGCCTGAGTTGATCTAACCAGACTTCATCACGTCAGGTGTGAGTGCACTGCTATGTGTGTGCACTTTGGATGGGATAAATGCAGAGCACTAATTCCTAGTATGGGTCACCATACTTGGCCACATGTCACTTCACTTCACAGGTGATTTTTACCCGCATTTGGTGGGTGTTAATTTCAAACCCTGATTACATGTATACATCTTCAAATAATATATCCATTACATTAAATGTTTAACTTTTTTGTATTTTGGCTCCGTTCACTCTCATGTAGCTGTAAAAATTAGTTGCCTGCTGACATTAAAATATACAGTATATCTTCATGACTAGATAGACACAGGTGAGTTTCTCTTTATTATACACGTTAGGTTTCTCTATCAGTGAAAGTGACGTGACATATACTTGGAATTAGTGCTCTGCATTTAACCCATCCAAAGTGCCCCCACCTACAATCCCTGCCGGTACGAGACTCGAACCCGCAACATTTGGGTTACGAGTCCGACTCTCTAACCACTAAGTTGTGGTAAAAAGTCCCTAAATCAGGTAGGTGTATCCATTAAGTGAGTGTGTACGGGTCGGCCAATCTCAACAAATTCAAAATGATAAAACTATAATTTAATGCAGTAAATTCAACACACTTTTGCTAAATGGCACACAAAAGATTAAACATTAAAACTGATTGATGTGTATTTTTTTGAAGCATCAGCCTGTCCAAGACTATCACAAGTCATTTTTTGCAAATTCAACACAACCATCTGTTAGCCAGCCAGATAGTGTGATCAGCAGAAATTGTGAGGACAGGTTTTAATGACTGAAATCTTTTGTGTGTTGTCTCCCTCAGGCGATTTATAAGATGGTGTCATCAGTAATGAAGATGCCGGAGGATGAGTCCACACCTGAGAAGAGAACAGAAAAGATCTTCAGACAAATGGACACCAACCGGGATGGTAAAGCCTTTTTCTCCCTTTAACATGAAACTTCTTTAGCAGTGATGTGAACAATGACATGATACATGATGGTCTTTCAGGGAAACATTGACCGAAACATTGAAGTTTAATTAGCGCTTCTCCGATGGCACGGTGTCTCGTGTAATCACTCAATCATTGTTTCAATCATGGAAAGATGTCAATAAAAGACAAAAATCATTTTGCATCATATCAGTGTGTTAAATATAAAATTTTACTGTTAAACATCTTTACCATTTTACTCTTACAATACATTTATTACAAAAAAAAAAATTCTGGCTGTGTGCATTCTTTGTAAAGTCTGTGTGCTTGTTTGCGCTCATGCCATTAAATAAAGGTCTCCAATTATTGAGTGATTTGAAGAGCCCCATTAGCAGTTAAACAAGGTTTAGGACTGTCTACTTCAGCGTGAATGAGTAATTGATGATCAAAAACCAAACAGATGGAGTATACAGAAAAGATAGTGGAAAGTTTGGTCTGATTCTATGGTCAGATGAACTTTTGCATTTCCTGCTCTCTCGTGACTAGAGTCACAAGGGATGGAGACTGTGTGCATGTTTGTGTATTTGAAGGATCAGATGCAGCAGCATAAGTGTGTTCTCAAACAGATACTTTATTGTTCACAGTGAGGAAATTGAAGTACAAAAAACACTGCTACAAATGTACAGGATTCGATCAAATTACACCATGCAGTCTAAGCATGGACTGAAATGAGGTGGGTGATGAATGCTAATGTTAGTCACATCTATGACTGAGAGGACCTGTTCTTGTGCCATTTTGGGTAACAGTGCCTGTACACTGTACTGAATATCAAACGTTTCTTAGCATTCCTTCACCACCTCTCACTTTTAAATGCAAGGAGACGGCAGTGCCACCTGCTGACTAATACGGTACTTGGCACTTTTGTGGTTCTTCAGTCACTGCATGTTTTTTTTTGTTTTTTAGGGATGTCCCTAAACTAAAATTCAGTCAGATACCAAAAAAATAAAATAAAAAATTGCACCAAAAATATAAATTCTACTATTTTTGTTGCAATAAAATGAAGGAGACCAAAACTCCATCAGTGACAGAAATGGAGAAAAAAACCTTGGTAAAAATTGGGAAAATGAACATGCACGATTTAGTTTGTGTTAGATTATATCTTGCCCTTTTTTAACCCGAAGACCTGAAGTCTTATTAGATTTATTAGAAACACTAAAATCTTTTCCATTGTTTCCATAACACATTTTTTTTCTGCTCACAGGTTGATTCAGATTCTAATACAATGAGCCGAAAACTAGCCATAATTTTTCTATTGTAAATAATATGATTTTTTTTAAGAGCCTGTATCCTCTCTTGTTTTATTCTAGGAAAACTGTCTCTGGAGGAGTTCATCAAAGGGGCAAAGAGTGACCCATCCATTGTGCGTCTGCTACAGTGTGACCCCAGCAGTGCAGGACAGTTCTGAGATCAGCGTCTCATGCTTCAACCTTTTATTTATTTATGGGTTTTAATTTAGTTTTTGATATAGCCACTCCTTCCACTCGCAGGGAAATGATGGAGGGTCAGGTTTTTTTTTTCCAGAGTAGGGCATCTGGGTCTCATCAGACTGAGCTTGGCCAGATATAGAAGCACACACATGCGCACACAGAGTTATTGGCTGTGTTATCTCTGTAGGGAGCCACACTGGGTCTGCAAGAGAGGCCTGTGATGGAGTGAATTAGGGTAACTAGAGTATTTATCTGAGCTCGAATCACTTCCTGATTAGAAAATAGGTTTCATGTCATGGTAAATACATAGTCAATTTTATTTTTATTTTCTCGGGGTATTAGATGAGACAGTTTAAGCTTGACCAAGACAGGAATATAAGATGGGAAATAATTTATGCACTCAGTAAAACAAAGTTTTGTCCTTAATTTTTTCTATTAAAAAAAAAAATCTGATGCCTGAATCATAGATCAAACAGGTGACAATAGTGTGTAAACACCTCAGCCTTAGCTATTTGAATATTTGGGTTATTTTTAACTTTATTTAGACTATGTAGTTTCTTTTAATTCATAGCTTGGCCAGCTTTATTATTGGCAGATCACAGTATTATTATCCAGTGGGACCAATAGATCAGGCATGCCGATTTTCTAGTTGTATGATTCCCCACGTTGTGCTTACAATCTAAAGAGCCTTACTACTTAGTGCTGGAAGCGCACATCCAATTTTGTGTGTATTAGTTTGGTTTTAATCAGATAGTCTACCATTCAAAAGACATGAAATGAACTGCGTTCTCTTTTTCCAGTTTTCTAATGTTTGTACTCTAGTAACTGTAGGCTTGTATATAAATCTGAAATATCAGACACGCATGCAAAACTGTAATCAGAGTTCCATCTTAGGATGCAGCGATCGGATTTCTTGGCATTTTTAGCAAAAGCATGTAAACAAGTTTATCTGCATTTGTGGACAGGAGAGTATTTGTGTAATTTGTATGCATGTGTTGTGTGTATGTGTTTGGTTAATATCAGTTACAGCCCTGTTTGCTCACCCCGGTTCTAGATGTTGTGTTGCATCGTATGCATTATTGCAGAACGTTTATTATTGAAGAAGTACTAAAGCTTTATTCATTCAAAGCTAATATGATTTTAGAATCACTTTTATCTGCTATAGAGCCAGTCTTTAACCCTGGATTGTACACAGGAGCATCATCAAGTTGCTGAATTGTCTTAAACTCAAGTGTTTCTGCGGGTGAGTGGTTTTTTTTTTTCTTCAATTGCAGTAAATTTGCAGAAAATTATCCATCTGTTTGTGAGTTTAGCTCTATGCTCTTCCCGTTCACCCCTTTAACAGATGTAATTATGTTGACGGCCTTTTGCTTAATATATTAATTTGTCATACATGCTCATTTCAAAATAACATCGAGTGTAAGTGGAAATAGGACCCATTGCTTTTCAAATGCCCCTTGCATTCATGTTGTATTCATACCTGTATCCATTTCACTTGCAGCACAAATTGAATTCAACAATAGGTAGAGAGCATTTATTCGGAGCTCCTAGTAGTTCCCATATCACCCTCTGCCCTGCTTTTAGCAAACATGCCAACTGCTTCTACTGATGTGCAGTGTTCTTGAATGTCCCTGTTAACGCCAAATGCCTCACCACAGTGCATTCGGTTCTGCTATACTGTTAATGAACATATTTGAATGTTTTTATTTTAGTTTTTATCTTACTCGTTGAACAACTGCTGTTTTTGTAAAAATATAGAAAAAAAGAGGCAGATCAAAATTTTTCTGTTATTTCATGTTTTATGCATTCCCCCCCCCCCCCCGTTTTGTTTTCATTTTAAACATCTGACATAACATTTCTGTATGACAATTATATCATGTGGTCAGGTGCCAAAAATATGAAAGCAGTATTGTAAAAATTTATACTGTACAATCGTTATTTGTCAAACAAATTGTTTGTAATTGTTGCATTTTGTAGATTTTGTATGGTAATCTGTATTTTGTGACTGTAGATTTGAGACATAGAGATTTGTTTTGGTTATCATATTGAGCAGAAATTAAATCTGGAGAGAACAGAGCATGTTGTTGTGTTGCATTCATTTACTTTGAGAGTCATCCTTTTTTGTTGTTGTTGTTGTTGTTCTCAATGGCAGCCACTAATAGAAACTCACTCAAAATAGGTTGAAATGTAGTAGTACCTACTTTGGCCACAAGATGTCAGCTTACGTTTATGTATGTGTTGAATTATTTGAAGTGAATTATTTGTTTACACGCTTGAGATCAAGCATAAAATCTGAATGAATAAAAAGCGAGTTAAGACTTTTGTATAGTTATGTATTCTAAAATACTTCTTTCTCTGGATATTGGTGTTACGTTTATTCCCAATAAATGTTTCCTGAACGTACATCTCCTAAAGTAATATTAAATTATAATTCCCATCACTTTGAAAGCGTTTTATTCTTCCCAATGTTGTGAGTGCTCTTTGAAGGTCTTGCCCAGCCCAGGGGCTTCAATGAAGGAAATCTTACACATGTCTGACACTCTCGGTGGTACTCTGGGCAACTCTATATCACTGTCTTTGTGATGCTGTAAGATTAGATAGGTGGTGAAACAAATTTGAAATTTCCACTCCTACCCACCACATGAGAAGCATTCCTTAAAAGTATAACCATTGTGTAATTACAGCATTAAGTTGTAATAGTTCAGTTGCTGGTCCCCATTGACTTGCATAGTGATTTTTTTCTTTTAAATAATACAACTATATATATATATATATATAAACATACAATAAACGTATAAAAAAATTAACTATTTAGGCCTTTGTCGCGTATATATTTAATGGAGTGGAGTGGTGTAATAGATGAATAGAGACTGATACCATTTTAAAATGTTCACTGTTGTTGTGAAGCTTTCTGGTTTCTGTAGCAGTAGATTGGGGCGGTCCTTGTTCTCATGCTCAGGCAAGAGATGACATCATGTGAATCATCTGAGTCAGCGAGATTAGTCCAGAATTGCTCGCTGATATTTTCCCATCAGATTGCATTTAATATGTTATATATGCAAGTGACTGAGCATTAGCAGCCATAAACGTTTTTAAAAGGTGGTGCATGAGAAAGATTTTCTTTATTTGAATTTCCTAAAAATGAATAGACCGACCCCCAACATGAGCATACTTAAGTTATCAGAGGACAACTTCTCCAGAGGTCTGAGCCTTTATTGGACTGGTAAACCTGGTGAAATGTGTCGATTCAGTGTGTGTATGTATAAACTACTGTCACATTTTGCTAACAATGCAGAATCGTTACCTGTCAGACGGGTAGAAGCTGAAGCCCTTCTCCAGGTCAAAACAGGTTATTTTTCTTTTGAGTACTCAGGCATGCCACACCTCTTGTGAAATGTCCCATGAAGTCTGATAAAGATGTGGATCAAGTAAGAACTGAATGGGTTTTTAAAAAAAAAATCATGACAGAACAAGACAAGCAATCTAAAACTACAAAAACAGACCGATAATGCTCTGTCTCTGTTAGTCTTTATGTTGGAGCACATTATGAAATATTGTTCTGCACTCTGGTGTCCGTTTCTATTCCCATGACTGATAACTGCAGGTCATTAGTAGATTTCACTTGACCACTCAATAGTCTTGTTAAAGCCTGCCATCTTCATACACATTAGTACTCACTGAAATTATGAGGTTTCTCATAAGAAAGAAAAACTGGATTTTTTGTCATAGGCGGTCTTTTTTATTTTATTATTATTATTTTATTTAACTATTCTGCTCATTAAAAGCATAACTGGTACAGTAGCGAATCCTAGGCCAGCCAAATCCCAGATGCGAGAAAAGAAAGAGCACATTTGAAGCTTTTAAAATAGAGCCACACCTGTTAGTCTAACAGACATTTTATTTGCAGCCCTAACAAACAAATAGCAGTCTGCTAGTCAACAATACCAGTATTTGGATAGGCTCAGACAGAGGGCTAAAGTGAATAAACATTCCTTTTCCCAACAAGAAAAACTCAATGGAAACAAAAGTCCCATTTCATTATTATACTCCGTTGGTTGATGTAGTAAACTGCTCTGCCAGCTGCAATGTTATGTACAGACGTAAACATCTTGCATCTTACAAAACTCTAGTATCTCACTGAGCTTCTCCAATCATTAATTTTTTTTTATAAACAAAACGTATTTTATTAAAAAATATATATATTTTTTTGATTTATATATAGGTTATTTAGAGATTAACCAGTATTTAAACATTTCCCATAAAACACGCCTCTCGAGCTTCTCTTTGCGCAATCAATGAAAAACTCCCACGAACAGAATGTGATTCTCTATTTCAGATGCATGTTTTAACATTATAAGCGCGCAAGTGGCTGCGACGCCTTCTTTTTTGCTTTACAGCCAATCGCCGTCGCCGAATCAAAGTAGCTGTGCCGGGATTGGTTGGCTCGTCCCCTCCTCCAGGTAATGAGAGCGCACCTTTGCTTGCTCACAATAACAGTCACCTTGAGACTTTCCAGAATTAACACAATTTTTCCGCTTGATCCTGAATGTTTGGCTGCTCTTCTTTGTGCGGAACAGACGGAGGATGCTGTAATGAGAGTCGGATGCGAGAAGTTGTTTGACCTGTAGTCCGAGTTTTCTTTCAGCCGTTCCCTGCTACTCACCTGCCGCATCTTCATCGACCTGAAAGTCCAGTTTCACTGTGGGAGCCCAGCAGTGCACATGGCTCAAGAGGAGAAGTAAGTCGCCAATGTAAACACTAATACAGTTTATAAGAAATGGCAAACTTTAGTCAGTTATATAGCAAGGAGTTGTTTGAATTTCATGACGTTTATCTTTATATGTGACTTCATCGCAGCAGGTCGTTTTGTATGATAAAATGCAAAGTAAATATGTTTCAGCATGCTTTGATCCCATGGTTCTTTATTAAACTACTTAAAGGTAGCATAAAAAAAATCGAAGAAGTCCTAGAATAGAACCTTGTGGAACTCTACTATATTTTACTATAATTATTAATGTTTTGTTAGTTTTTTTCCCCTAAAATATTTATTTAGATGATCACCAGTGTAAGGGTTTCTAAACTGTAAACTATAACGTAAATTGCAACATAGAACAAATGTGACAGACTGATTTATTTATTTATTTTTGCATTACCTTTTCCTCTTCTTGCTTGCTGTAGTACATCTATAACGGTGGGCCTGGGCAGGTGGCTTATATTGGCTAACATCCTTGTACAGCCCCTCCCATGCAACCCTTCCTCACTGTAGTATCAATATCCAGCAGGATATAGTCCATTGTCCCACGGAAAAAAATCAATTGTGTGGAAAATGTAAAAGGATAGTGCTGGGAATTTCATTTGTATGCTCCAACCCTTTGTAAACGTCATGAACCCTAAGGTATAGAGAGAGGTTGGGATCAAGCCTGTTGTATAATTTTTATTTTATTAATTTTTTTGACATTATTTTTTACAATATTATTATTATTTTGTCATATATATATATGTGTGTGTGTGTGCGTGAATATTCTTTCCTAATTAACTTTGATTAATATTTTAAGTAAGCGTCTGGTGGTGGTGGTCCCTAATGAGATGACTATTCCATCACGCCGTGCCTTCACAAGTGAAGATGAGGCATGGAAATCTTACTTGGAGAATCCATTGACTGCTGCCACCAAGGCCATGATGAGCATTAATGGAGATGAGGACAGTGTGGCTGCCCTGGGAATCCTTTATGATTACTATAAGGTCAGAGACCATCTGTAACACAGTTAGAAGAAAACTAATGTAACCCTGGTGAATATACATTCGTGGTCAGAATTGTTGGTACCCTTGGTAAATATGATCAAGAAAGGCTGTGAAAATAAATCTGCATTGTTAATCCCTATTAATTATCTCTGCTATTCTGCAGCTATTGTCCTTGGAGAGCCTTTAGCCACTCAAACTCTCCTCCTCACCGTGCATTAGGATGACATTGACAACTGTCCTCTTCCAGGAAGATTTATAACATCTTTAGTTGATTGGAAATTCTTAATTATTGCCCTGATGGTGGAAATGAGAATTTTCAATACTCCAGCTCTTTTCTTAACGCCACTTTCTATTTTGTGAAGCTCAACAATCTTGTTCTGCACATCAGAACTATATTCTTTGGTTTTTCTCATTGTGATGGATGATTAAGGGAATTTGGCCTTTGTTTTCCCTCATATTTATATTCCTGTGAAACAGGAAGTAATGGCTGGATAATTTCATGTTCATAATCACCCTGGTGTGCTAAAAATTTTAATTATGAATGGGAATATACTTCAGAGATATTTTACTCATAAGAATTTCTAAGGGTGCCATTAATTTTGGCCAACGTGTATTAGAGAAAAACATTTATTTCATAATGAGATTTCCCCCCCATTTTACATTTTTATTCTTCAATGAAAGGTTCGATTTTTGTACATTTTTAAAATAAAATATCAATATGATTAACAATGCAGATTTATTTTCACAGCATTTTTTGATCATAATTACCAAGGGTACCAACAATTCTGACCACAACAGTATATGAAAATGTATTGTCAGGAAGTTATACCATTTCTTTTCCTTTAGGTTCCTAAAGAGAAGAGGCTCTTACCAGTACCCAAACTTCCAGAAGATCATGAAAAGAGGTCAGTCCAACACACAAGCGAGGTCCAAAAGTCGGAGACCACTTGTGAAAATGCATCTGTTTTCCATTTTTCGAAATGAATACATTTTATTTTTAATTTCAAATTAAAAGCATAACAGTTTGAGTGAAAGGTTGAACTGAAGAACTAACAAACTTCAGAACATATTTGTTATCCATGTTATCCAGTGTGATTTTTGCTTATTAGTGAATGTTGAATCTTAAATATTTCTTTATTTTAGGCCAAGGTTTTAATTTTTTACTTTATTTTAGGGAATGAATGAATGTCCATGTTCCAATTGAAACAATTTGGACTAACCCATTTGGGCTAACCACTTTCTTTCAGTCGGATCTGTCAAGATGGCCTTGAGTCCACAGAGAATCGTATCCAGGTCCTGAAGTCACTTCCTGTCAACCTGTCATTGAATACTGATGTGCACAGTGCAGAAAACAAACAAGACCTGTTCGGTTCAGTGCCGATTGAGGATGGTGTTGTGGCCACTGTGAAGGCTGAGGTTTATGCTCAGGCATTCTCCAACCATCACCAGCAGCAGGGGATTCAGTATCAGCGCATGCCCTACCATCAGCCTTTACAGGATCCAGCGAGCGTCAGCCATGACGGATACATGAAGGACGAACAGTGCAGTACACCAGATAGCACCTTTGAGGACTCCTACCCTGAGGAGACTATGGTGAGCTTTCTGTCAGTTTACGACAATCACTGGTAGCTACTCGTCAATTTGTTTCTTCAGTAGGTTCACACTTCTGTCATACACTGTTTTTCAGAAGTACAGGGTGCACACCACACTAGGGGCAGAACATTTCTCCCAGAAGCATTCGGGGATGTAAGTACAGGAACTACATTACAACATTTTCAGCATCGGTACTCCAGTCTTCAGTGTCTTCAGTTCTCATCGTTACTCCAGTCTTTGCTTAATATTTTTGTGGAAACGATGATACCTTTTTTCAGGATTCTGTCATGTTTGATCAATTCAATGCATCTTTGATTATTACTTTTTTTTTTTAAAAAAAGCTTATCTGACCCTATCCCTGTCCCTAAACTTTTTAACATCAGAATATAGTGAATCTATTGGAATTCTACACTCAAATTTCCTCTAGTTTTTAAAATTCTCTACAAAAGTACATTTGAATCACAGTAAAAATCAAGTTCTGTCTAGATGCTCTGTATTAGATGCCTCAAATTATGAGCTGGGACTGAACATTTTCTGTACAGTAGATCTACCGCATTCTTAATTTAATAGCAGTTGTACAAAAACTCAAGTTCAGGAACTGTTCTTCTGTAGACTTTCTTTTATTATTGAATTCTATAGTAAAAGTGCTATGATTATTGCCTTAAATAGCTTGCCTTCTGTACTAATCAGCCCAATACAGCTAACATTAAAAACTCACTTTTTTTTTTCAAACCAATATGCCAATATATTGTGCATTCCTTTTCTTGACAAAGAATGTGAAGCATATGGCATTCTTGCCAAAATCATAATATTAGACTTGATTTTAAGACTTGATTTTTACTTGCACTGGTGGTATACAATAGCTCACTGCTATAGCATAGCTCACTGCTGTCTTTTTTTACAAATGTGGACAAACAAAGTGTTTTTCTTTCTATAATGATCTCCACTGACACAACAGTTATCTTATCCTCTCCTAGAGACATGTTCCAGTACAGTATAGAAGCGAGTCGTTCGGCCCGCGAGAAGGCCGGCGAGGGGCCGATGATCTATTTGAACAAGGGCCAGTTCTACGGCATCACTCTCAGTGAGACCGGGGCCAACAAGGGCCTTCGCCATTCCATCAGTAAAGTGCGGGTGAGTATTGCTGTTACCATGACAACCACTCTTAATTCTGTACTATAATTGATATTAAGGGCCAGAATCATTGTAACACAACTGTCTCTCTCAGAGTGTAGTGATGGTGGTGTTTGGACAGGAGAAATGTCGGGATGAGCAGCTAAAGCACTGGAACTACTGGCACTCCCGCCAGCACACGGCCAAACAGAGAGTCCTTGACATAGGTGGGAATCTGCTTTACATGTATATCTTTTACATAAATGTCTTAAAGGTGCACATTAGCCGAATTTCTGTAACATTTTGCAGGCAAAGAAGTCTATTGTCGGTAGTATAGCAATCACATTGAAACATTCACTTTCAGACCAAGCAGTTTTCTGTTGGTCAGTTTCGCAAATCTGCGTTGCCAACATTAACCTATTGCGAAATCATACACTTTTTTTAAATTGTCATTTTCCTGTAGAAGTATAGAAACAATCTTAGTTCAAGATATTACTTGAGAAGAAAAATGACAAGATAACAAGTCTTGTTTTCTAAAAATGTTTCAAAATTAAGTGATTTTATGCTTAAAAACAAGCAAAAGTCTGACAGTAGGCTAAGAAAAATAAACTTGTTTCCCTTTAAATTAAGTTCATTTTTCTTACCCCATTGGAAGATATTTTTTCTTGTTTTGAGTCACTTAATTTGATCAGTGTTTCAGTAAACAAGACTTCATATCATTTCTCAATTTGCTTCCAAATTAAATATAAGAATGTTCAGATATTTGTACTGGAAAACAAGGCAAAAATCGTGAGGAAGAGAGCCATTTTTTGCATGGATTCCTATTAAAATGATTGGAGACCCAGTGTGTTTTTTTTTTGTGACTCTACGTTTGTGTCATTATATGCGTCCCCGCCCCTCCCTCTTCTATCCTCTGCGTCTGTATCCCTGGATACCAGATAACTGTAGTCCCTTCCTTTTGTTCATCTTTGCTCTTCCCAGTTCCTCATGTGTTTTATTTAAGGTGTATCCTAAATAAAGGGTCTGCAACTTTAGCACAATGCTTAGGGCAAAGTATTCCATCATAACTCCCAGTTGGGAACCATAAGGACAATGAGGGGTCAGGTTAAAGGAAGGGGGGTTTGACACCTGAGGGGCACTGTGATGGTCTTCTCTGTGGCAGCTGGCAGCCTGACGTGGTTTGGCCATGATTTCGGAAGACCGAAACCCGATCTGCTGATCCTGATGTTTTCCTGATTTGAATAACAGTATCCAGGGATTTTTCATAGTGCCTGAGGCAGAAGATCAGGATTTGAATAGGAGCGTTAACCGTTTGGGGGGGAGGTTGAATCCTCAGACAAGCGGGGGCTTGGGAAATGGTCCTGCTCTTTTGTAAAAGGAAGGCTTGAGTAACATCTGCCATACATTTAAGCGGTGTTGTATTTACACAGCAGGCAGGTACCATGTCATAGACGTGAAGCGTGTAACAGAACGCCTGTCTCTGAGGTCAAAATGCATCCCGCTGTGTTTTTTTTTTCCTTTGAATTTTTAAATCACTCTGAATATAAACTGAAGTGCTCAAATTAGTTTGCAGCTTTGCATATTATATACATATTTACTCAGGGCAAAACAAGAAAATTGTCTCTTTGCCACATTTGTCCTATCTTGATGTTGTTTGAAAATACAGTGGGGTGTAAAGTCTTACTAAAAATGTAGCTTTTTTCAACTAGTATTATCAGCATAACAATTTGAGTGACAAGTTGAACTTGAAAATTGACATGAATTTGACAATGTCTCAGTGTTTGGTATGTCCAGCCTTTGCATTAACAAGAGCAGCACTTGAGCTGGCAAAACCTGATGATCATGTTATCCAGCATGATTTGAGAATCAAACACAACAGCATCTTGTGCTTCAGTGAAAGCAATTAAATCTGGACTTATGCACAAAGGATTTCAAAGGGTCACATACCTGATGTAGAATCTTACATATTCCTTATTAATTTTGCATATCTTTTTTTAAAATCTTCAAAATACATAAATATAAAATATATAGAAAATAAATACAATTCACAATGAGATCAAGTTTAAGATTATCTTATCTAAATTGAATTAGATACATTTTATTTAATTCAACTTATTTTATTTTTATTTTTTATTTATCTAAAAAAGATCTTAAAATAAGAATAAGCATAAGATTTTACATGTGGATTCCCACATTTTACATTTCAAAGTAAAATATTTTTATTCAATATCTAATTATTTATTAGATATTTTATTTATCTGAATACAATCTTGCATCCCAGATTTTACATATCAACTCAGATATTTTTTATTTAAATTGTTTTCAGCTTATTTTATTCATTTTAATGTTGATTTTATTTAAATAAGATCTTAAATTGTCATTTTTTGAAAAATGTAGACAAAAATATTTATTCTATTTTATTATATTTATTTACTAATAATAATACTTTAATTCAAATATTGATTTTATTCAGTTTACTAAATTTGATTATATATATATTTATTTATTTATTTATACCAAATAAGGTCTTGAATCTCAGATTTTCTGTGTGGCCTCAGACATTTAAACCTTACTGTGTACTGTTGAGGGCTTAAAGAAAAGATTATATGTAGTGCCAGAAATGGTCGATTGCTTACAAAATTACAAAAGATAACTAATCTGTCATGTTTCACCCTTCAGCCGACTATAAAGAGAGCTTCAGCACCATTGCCAACATCGAAGAAATCGCTTACAATGCTGTGTCCTTCACCTGGGACGTCAATGAGGAGGCAAAGGTGAGACTTCAGCTTTGATTCTCAGAGTTCTTACCTGGATATTAAGTTTGCTGTGTGCAGGTCAGGCTGAAGTTGTTTGATAACAGCCATTGAGCCTGAGGAGACATTACAGCTCCCTTCTCCTTCTCTTCCCTGCAGCATCCTATTCACTGTCAGGAGGATATTTCCTTCTTAGTTCCAGTACTTAACAAGGTTTACTTTAAGTGCACACTTAAGGGAGGAGGTCCACCCAGGGCTCATGGTCAATATTTGTCTTTAAAACTAGGCTTTTGAAGTAGCATGATGTGTCATTGTAATAGCAAGTGGAAGACTTAATAGCAAATCCTCTACCTCTGGATTTTTTTAATTTAATTTAATTTAATTTTGTTTTGTTTTGTTTTGTTTTGTTTTGCCTAATTCAGATAATGTATATAAAAGATACAGTGTTTCATGGGAATTTTAAAGGGTTGCAGAAATATAAACATTTACATGCCTTCAATTTAAGAGCCAACAGATGATGGTTTGATAATGTAGAAGGATGTTGTAAGATTTCAGACTTACTTTGTATTTGTTCAACCATCATTTGCTCACATGCACCCACATGCACACAGAAAGTCAGAGCCCACACTAGAGTTTTGTTGTGAAAGATTTGTCCATGTGTGCAGTTGCTAACTGATTCTTGTCAGAATTGATCACGTGGCCCTGAGAAAGCAAGTGGTTCTCATAACATCGAACAACAAGCTCCTCTGTGAAACAACAGCTACAGGCACAGACACGAAAGGACGGGAGACCGTCAGTGGGAAACTATTTTCACCTCGGGCTGAATGATTCGCTACCTTTCATCTTTCAACAGTCATTTTTCCAGTGTCTCTTGATATATTGGCATAAGACAGGTTACAGTTGGGGATATTTCAAATCAATTTAGTTTTGCTTACTATTTGAATAAACCACAGACAGGCACACAATGCTAGAGTGCTTATGTGGTTTTTGTTTAGAGTTGCCATTTAGAGATTTTAAGATTGTGAACATGTAAGATTGTGAAAAGATGTACTTTTCACTATTAAAGGTCACAAGTGATAGAAGGTTTTGCCTACACATAAGCTGGATGGGTGTTTTTGAGATTAAAGATAGACTAGTGCTAAAACGATTTTTAAAGTGAACCTGACGTGAACTGCTGTGCTTTATTCACCTTTTTTTATTTAAAGTCTTGGAGGCCATCCAATAATAGCTTTTTATTCAGGACTAGTCTATTAATCAACAGTCTGTAAAGGTTCACACTGAGGTGTGTAATTTCACTACTATCGCCACTAGCATCACCAAACAGATTTGCAAAAATAATGTTTCCCGAACGCTCCCTATCAGTGTTAATTTCGTTGATGAATAATTTTCGTCAACATTTTTTTTCACCGACGACGAGACGATAACAAACTAAAACTCAAACGCGCCTTTCTCAAACGCATTGATTTTTACAAAGCTCATCGTTCTAAAAAAGCGAGGTGTGCTGTGATTGGCCAGCTAAGAAAGACAGAAAATCACGCACTGCTCTTGACTGGAAAACTTTAGTAGCCCTAAAGATTAATCTAAATTTATTTATAGAAATAAATATGTCTGCTTGAAAGAATGAAGAATAGGGTAAACAAGTTGCTATAAAGAATGCATAATTAGCCTATATAACCATTGGTATTTCATTAAAAAGAAGAATGGCTTTTTCTGTGTGAATGGCTCCTTACTTTTTTTTTTGTGCAAAAACATGTTCTGTGTAAAGTACCCTTACAGTACTGTTTCTTGTTTTTAAATTTAAACGGGTTATGTGTGAACGGCTCCTTATACTGTCCTGCTTTCTAGTTTTTAAACACAAAAATGGGTTCTGTGTGAACGGCCCCTCACTGTGATTTTTTTTTTCTTCTAGTTTTTATACACAATAACATATTCTGTAAAAACATTCCCTTTATAGCTGAGCTACTTGGTGGAAAAACTACCCCTGGCTCTTTTGTCATAAGATAATAAGACATGATTGCCTGGCCATACTTGACCTTTTCCATGCTCAGAAATGCATGTTTTGTCAAGCTGATTTGTGTATGCGTCTTGTTGGGTTTTTTCCAGGTTTTCATTACGGGGAACTGTCTGAGCACCGATTTCTCCTCACAGAAGGGAGTCAAAGGTCTTCCACTTATGATCCAGATTGACACCTACAGTTACAACAACAGGAGTAACAGACCCATTCACAGAGCCTACTCACAGATCAAGGTCTTCTGTGACAAGGTTGGTGCTGCGTCAGTGTCATTGTTGTGGGTCATTTAAGTCAAGGACTTGAATCATTTTATTTGCACAAGTATAACAGTTTACAGTGGAAATTTTCTGTGTTTGCCATCGCCATTTCTTGTAGTAGCTGTAATGATGTTTTGTATTGCTGTTCATTTGTCACTGGAATTAACTACTTTATATATTAAACTTAGTTTATGGTGTTATTTAGTAAATGTTCATTTTTACCTGCTGTCCTTTCCATACCTTATATCTGTGTAACAACAATAGCCAGTATGTTCACACAAACATCTCTTCTGAACAGGGAGCTGAGCGAAAAATTCGTGATGAGGAGAAAAAGCAGCTTCGGAAGAAGGTCAAAGGTCAGGCTGCTGGCAACCAGGGTCATGATGGTGAGAGTTCTGTCAATCAACCATACATTCGTTTATATAATATAACGCCATTATACCTAAATGTTGTCTCTATCACTTTACTCTGATTCTGGATAAAATGCATGTACAGTAGGCATTTTGTGATGAGTAAGAATATGACTAAAAACAGGTTTTGACCTAATATGTGACGACTATGAGCTTGTGGTCTGTGAAGCATGACTATGTGGGTTTCTCGGCGTCGGCTTGCTGATTTTGACTTGAGTCATTGGTTTTCTTTCACTCTGTTAGGTAAGAGAGGAAGTTTTGCTACTTTAGCTCAAAAGAGGCCAGATATTACGCTCTTCAAAACGATGACAGACCTGGAGTCCCAGCCTGTCCTCTTCATCCCCGATGTCCATTTGAACAACCTCCAGAGAGCCGGTCAGGTGAGGAGGAGGATGAATGCAGTTCTCAAAGTGATACTGAAGCTGTTTCAGTGCTGAATTGTTGAGTATTGATGTGCAGTGATCAGAACTAATTACTGAGGTGTAGTATCTTAATAATGACTAGACCATAGTGAGTTACTTAAGCTATTAGTTATTAACTTTAGTTTTACTGAATTATCAAAAGTTCTGCTTATATTTTTGGACATAATGTGAAAGACAGTTTTAAGTCTCTATAACCTTGTTTTCTCTTTGTTTACAGGTGTTCAGTTTTGGCGTTGAAGAAATGGAGAGTAATGGGTCAGTGCATATACTATGAATGTCCTGGTTTAATTATAAAAGTCAAGTCACCTTTATTTGTATAGCGCTTTATACAATACAGATTGTGTCAAAGCAGCTTTACAGTGTTAAACAGAAAAATAGTGCCAGTAGTGTGAACACAATTCAATTCTGCTGTAAAGCAGCTCTAAAAATAATAGAATTTCTATTGGTATTTAGGATGCAAGATATGGCTTTACAATAATGGCTATGTGCTGAGATTTTATCAGTATAAGTGGACCGTAATTGGCCAGTATTTAATTGTTGCCTATTTTCCATATTTGTGACCCTGGACCACAAAACCAATCTTAAGTCACTGGGGTATATTTGTAGCAATAGCCAAAAATACATTGTATGGGTCAAAATTATAGATTTTTCTTTTATGCCAAAAAATCATTAGTATATTACGTAAAGATCATGTTCCATATCCTAACAAACCATACATCAATGGAAAGCTTATTTATTCAGCTTTCAGATGATGTATACATCTCAATTTCGAAAAATTGTGGTTTGAAAATTGGCTTTGTGGTCCAGGGTCACATTTTCATCTTAAGATTACCTTTGCCATCATCCAACACTCACTTAAGTTAAATTTAACTTCAATTTTAAAAACAATATTTAATAGCACGTTTGAATTTAATCTTTTGCAAATCTCAAGAATATAAATAAAACAAGAATATAAATTATAGTGTTGTGAAGCCTAAGTTTCCTTACTGACTGATTTTAGTTGTTTAGTGGTTTATTTAAATTTATTTAGACAAAATAATGTAACGTTTTATTATCAGCCATTTATTGGCTTTTGACCATAACATGAAAATGATTATCTTTTAATAGTCTTTTTGTTCATATTATTAATTTAATGTTGTTTGTATTCATTCATTTATAAAAAATACAGGTGCATCTCAATAAATTAGAATGTCGTAGAAAAGTTCCCAATAAATTTTGGAGCACTTCATGCTTCCTTCTGCTGACCAGCTTTTTGAAGATGCTGATTTTATTTTCCAGCAGGATTTGGCACCTGCCCACACTGCCAAAAGCACCAAAAGTTGGTTAAATGACCATGGTGTTTGGTGTGCTTGACTGGCCAGCAAACTCACCAGACCTGAACCCCATAGAGAATCTATGGGGTATTGTCAAGAGGAAAATGAGAAACAAGAGACCAAAAAATGCAGATGAGCTGAAGGCCACTGTCAAAGAAACCTGGGCTTCCATACCACCTCAGCAGTGCCACAAACTGATCACCTCCATGCCACGCCGTGAGCCAAAATTATTACAATTAAAAGAACCAAAGACTTAAACTACTTCAGTCTGTGTGCATTGAATTTATTTAATACACGAGTTTCACAATTTGAGTTGAATTACTGAAATAAATGAACTTTTCCACGACATTCTAATTTATTGAGATGCACCTGTACATCTCATAGGAGAAATGTTTGGACATTTAGTCCAAAAATGTTTGTCCATCATTTGGACTAAATGATGTCCTAAATGAGCTGTGAAGTGGACTCTTGACTTGGCTATACTGAGAGCGGTACACATAGTGAATCATAGTGTCATAAGATTATTATCTTGAGGTATAATATGATCTCTGTCTTTATCTGATAGGCTACTGTTTTGACTAAAACAGTTTATGTTTTTGTCTAATGTTTATGTTTTAATTACGTTTTGACTAAATGTCCAAACATTTCTCCTATGAGATGTATTTTTATAAATGAATGAATACAAAAAACATTAAATTAATAATATGAATTAGAAATTAATTAGACATTTAGTCCATCATTTAGTCCAAAGTCCAGCAAGCATCAGACCAGTAGAATCAATCCAGTGTGTTTTACATGTATCTGCATTTATTTCTTGCAGTATAACTGTAGCATTGAAAGGCATTATTATAATCGTAAATTTGTTTATCTGTTGCTCATGCAGGGTGGCCATGAAAAGACCATTCCGGTCATCAGAGGATGATATTTGTCCACCCGCCAAATACAGCAGAGAGGAAAAGAGAGGTATGATTTACTGCATAGCTGTGAGATTTGCATGTCAACAGAATGTCCCATTCTTCATATTAATTCTTAATGATATTTTTCTGCAGTCCTGCTGTACGTAAGGAGAGAAACTGATGAGGTTTTTGATGCATTGATGCTAAGGTCTCCAACACTGAAAAGTTTGCTTGAGGCAGTAAGTACTGTGCCATGCAGCACATGGGATTTACATTTTGATTTTCTTAAAAATAAGCTGCCATTCATGGAGGTTTGTCAGATGATTTTCTGTTTAAGTTTGGATTAAATTATTTTATTTATTTTTTTTTCTTCAAGATATCAGGCAAATATTCTGTTCCTGTGGAGAAGATGACTAAAATCTACAAGAAAAGCAAGAAAGGGTGAGTAAACATAGTGCTAAAACGATTTTTTTTTTTTACATTTTGAATTCTTTTGAACTAAAATTTAATTTTCATTCAACCACTAGTATCCTGGTCAACATGGACGACAACGTC